CAAGAAAGGGTATAAAAGAAGAAAATCTAATGACATGGCCTCCTTGTTCACCTGATCTGAACCCCATTGAGAACCTGTGGTCCATCATCAAATGTGAGATTTACAAGGAGGGAAAACAGTACACCTCTCTGAACAGTGTCTGGGAGGCTGTGGTTGCTGCTGCACGCAATGTTGATGGTGAACAGATCAAAACATTGACAGAATCCATGGATGGCAGGCTTTTGAGTGTCCTTGCAAAGAAAGGTGGCTATATTGGTCACTGATTTGTTTTTGTTTTGTTTTTGAATGTCAGAAATGTATATTTGTGAATGTTGAGATGTTATATTGGTTTCACTGGTAATAATAAATAATTGAAATGGGTATATATTTGTTTTTTGTTAAGTTGCCTAATAATTATGCACAGTAATAGTCACCTGCACACACAGATATCCCCCTAACATAGCTAAAACTAAAAACAAACTAAAAACTACTTCCAAAAATATTCAGCTTTGATATTAATGAGTTTTTTGGGTTCATTGAGAACATGGTTGTTGTTCAATAATAAAATTAATCCTCAAAAATACAACTTGCCTAATAATTCTGCACTCCCTGTACGATTATCATCTTTCTGTTCCAGTCTCCCATCTCTGCTTAAGACCAGAAGGCCACTCAAGGCTCAGGGGCTCAACCACCTGGGTAACGAGTGGCTATCTCTGGCAGAAAACATTGCTGATCTGGCTACTGGACTCCAAAACTTTGTAACATCAATATCATTACAGTCCTTTCTCGCCTTGACTACTGTAATCCGCTTCTCAATGGTCTTACGTGCTCCCAACTTGCACCGTTACAGTCCATAATGAATGCGGCGGCGAGGCTCATCTTCCTGTCCGCCCGCACCTCCCATGCCTCACCCTTCTGTCAGTCCCTACATTGGCTTCCTATAAAATATAGAGCTCAAATTAAAATTCTGGTTCTTGCTTTCAAATCTCTACATAATGCTGCTCCCACCTATCTATCCTCCCTTATACACAAGTATGTCCTTACAATCTGCTGAAGACTTACGTCTATCTTCTGTCCGTACTCTCACCTCCTTCAAGATTTCTCGAGGGCTGCACCGTTCCTGTGGAACTCGCTTCCCTCCTCCGTTAGATGCTCACCCAGTCTCCACTCCTTCAAAAAATCGTTAAAAACCCACTTCTTCATAAAAGCGTATCAATTAAACTGTTAATAGCTCCTGAATGATTCCTCTCCTGCAACTGTCACTAGTCTAATACTATCCTTACTTTTTTGTGTCATTTTACCCCACTCCCTCTTGCATGTAAGCTCATTGAGCAGGGCCCTCAACCCCTCTGTTCCTGTGTGTCCAACTTGTCTGGTTACAACTACATGTCTGTTCGTCCACCCATTGTAAAGCGCTGCAGAATTTGACGGTGCTCTATAAATATCATAATAATAATCTGTTAACATTGCAGTTTCTCAAAAAAAAGACTCAAGGGGACAGGGACACAGCACCCAGATCACTTCAATAAAATAAAGTGTTGCCTTATAATTTTATAGAATTGTCAAGGGTGCATTCTAAAACAGCTTGTGTGATTAGTTGAAGCCCTAGAAGAATGCATGTATTATAAATGGCAACACTAGAGTAAATATATTTTTCTAAACTAAAATCAAAAGATAAAATACTCACAGTAGGGCAATCAAAGTGTTTTTGTGTGCTTCACAGTGATAATAAAAAAAAAAAAAAAACTACAGTTTTTTTCACTTTTACAAAACGACAGTCTACTTTGGAAGATAAATGCATACATTTGACAGAGAGAGAAAAATTTCAAAAGTTACAGTTCAAGATTAATAAAGTCAAATCCAATGGCCCTTTATTAGTGGAAATTCTTCTAATTAGAGAAGCAACCTATGCTTCTCACCCCTTTTTCACCATGAGAATGCATACTTTTGATTATACTGCAACATAGCAAAGTAAAAAAAAAAGATATTTTGATGTAACTCATGGTCACATCATAATATTCTTATCATAGAAATTAAGGATAAATTTAAACCACCATGGAGAATGAACGAATTTCTGCTAAATTCAAAAGAGAACAAAGAATATATTTCGAGAATGATTTCTCTATATTTTATGGAAAATAATCCAAAAGATACAACTTTGACTAATAATTGGTGTGCCTTTAAGGCAGAGGGTATAAGAGGGTATTTGTTAAAGTTAAATTACCAATTTAGGAAAAATCATGAACAAAATATAGAATATCGGTATATAAAATTTCATAATCTTTCAAATTCAAATAAACAAAATCCTATAGCTCAGACATATGAAGAAATAATAAAAATACAGGAACAAATCAACTATAAATTAAGACAAAATTCAATTAATGCATTGAAAAAATAAAGATTAGATACAACACAAGGGGAAATGAAACTTTATTAACTCTGGATAGCATAGGTAAAGCTTTTACAATTATTATAGCAATCTATATGATATTCATTACCATCCTCGAGATATAGATATAGATAATTATCTTAAAGATTTAAATTTTCCAAAACTAACAGACACACAGAAATAAAACTTAAATTTACCAATTAGTAAGATTGAAGTAGACCAAGCTATAACATAATTAAATGTTTTGTAACAGATATTATACCACCAGGTCCGGATGGTCTAATATCTGTTACAAAACATTTAAAACATTATTGCTAGAACGCCTAAAACCTACATTTAATGATTTTGTTCAACAAAATAATATCCCAGAAGAACTTACTAAAGCCAATATAATTCCAGTTTTGACAAAAAAATGAAAATCCTGATCATATCCAAAACTATAGACCAATATCTCTTCTAAATACAGATATTAAATTGTATTTTTCAATTCTTGCATCCGGGTTAAAAAAAGTTATAGATAAATTGATCCATCCAGATGAGATAGGTTTTCATGCTAAAATATTAGAAGACTTTTGGATATCTTAGATTCCGTGGAACAATCTGGGACCCCCATGTTAACTCTCTCGATTGACGCCTAAAAAACGTTCAACAGCGTCAACTGTGGGCTCATGAGTAAATCTTTACAAAGCTTTGGCTACATAAAGCAATTATGTTGTTGTATTGATCCCCATCTGTAAGAACAGTGGGATACGATATAACAACTGATTGGTTTCCACTAAAAAAAACGGGCCAAGACAGGGATGCCCACTCTCTCCACTGTTTATATTATATCAATTGAACCTCTAGCAATGAAAATTAGGAACAATATAAAAATAGAGGGATTTCCTATAAATCATACACAATTAAAGATAAACTTATATGCGGATGATGTTCTATTGACTCTTTTCAACCCAAAAGATTCGCTTACAGCACTTATTCAAGAACTCCAACAATATAGTAAATTTCAAATTGTAAAATAATTTAAGAAAAATCTAAAATCTTATCTTCAAATATAAACCAACAAGACAAGAAAGAAATCAAGAGGCCATATAGATTTCCTTGGGTAAAACAAATTATTTCTTATTTAGAAGTTAAAATTACAAAAGATCTAAAAGGTTTAATGGAAGCAAATTTTATAGAATTATTAAGATCAACAAACCACATATTAAAAGAATGGAGAAAAATAGAATTATCATGGTGGGGTCGTATTAATTTAATCAATCAATTTTCAAGCTATTGGTTGAATATGCTGCAAAACAGCATTACAGCTTATATTTGGAGAGGGAAGAGACCAAGAATTAGTACATATACTTTATCAAGGAAGGCCCACCAGGGGGGGTTGGGTTACCCCCTAGTTAATCAAATCTATCAGGCCAATATGCTGGTCCAGGCTAGTAATCTACAACTAAGTGATTCTATAGACCAAGCTTGGCATAAAATTGAGGCAGCCAGAGTTGGTTTAGATAATCTCGAACTTCTCTTATGGAGAGAGGCAAGTCAGAATAAGCATTTGTGTGAGATTGCTTCTCATTTTCCCTTGTCTCTATCACAGACATTAAAAGAATGGACTAATATAAAGAAAAAGCAAAATATTAATAAAAAAAACTATATGAGAACCTTAGTCTAAGGTCATTAGAATGTTTTATGCTAGAGATAAATCTGATGAACTGGTTTAAAGATTCTAATTATAAGATTAGGGGGCCACAGCCTTTTAAAACTTTGCTTGTACGTGCGCTGTTTATATGTGTCCGTCATTAGAGTGGACACGATGGGCAGTTCGGGGATTTCCATGCTCTAGCTATTAGTCTTTGGGCTGATAATAGGACATGGTACATGAGCTTCTGCATATCCTTAGGGAGGTCATCTTGGAGGAGCATGGTTAGGTACGTAAGTGGTTGGAGGGGCAATTTGGTTGCAGTCAAGGAGGTCAGCAGGGTGTGAACCCCACGCCAAAACAGTTGGATAGTCGGGCATTGCCACCATGTACCATCTATATATTATTTTCCGCTGCTGTTACAGTAGGGTAGCAGATTTAATTAGAGTTGCAGTGAACAGTTGGCCCCATCGCTGTTGGGAGGTATTCTAATAATAACTTGTAACACATGGAGATAGGCTTACATTATTGTTACACATCTGTTCCCAAGTATTAAGTGTGTGTGTAGTAACGGGCGCGGGGGGAGCTGATGATTGCCCTCGGGTTAGGAAGGATTTTAGTTGAAGATAGGAAAACTGTGATGTGCTCGGTAGGCCGTGGCTGTCTTGCAAGAGCTGGAAGTCTAGGAGTTTCCCTTGCACGTCTATGTGGTATAGATGCGGCAAGTTCTGAGCCTGCCATGGTTTATCATGGAAGGTAAGGACACAGCATGGGAGAGCCCTGATGGGGGTGGCCAGGGAGAGTGGGTTCGAAGAGCTTAATCTAGATCTGTGGGTATCCTAAATCCAGAGAGTCAGGGTAATCTGGGGTGGTGCTGATGGCATGGGTAGCCTGAGCCTTTTGCAGCCATAGCATGCTGGGGAAGTCGAAGGGCCGTAGCCAATTGCCCTCTATGTTCACCCACTGGGGCTAAGGCCCGGCAAGGAAGTGAGGTATCACCGAGGCCAGTACCGAGGCATGGAAGTAGGCCTCAATATCTGGGACCGCGAGTCCCCCCGCCTTTGTTGGTGCACAGAGCACCTTCATGGCTACTCTTGGTCTGGAGCCTGCCCAGATGAATTTAGTCATATCTTTATGAACCGCTTTAAAGTAGGCTGGTGGGAGCTGTAGGGGGAGTGTGCGGAAGAGATACTGTAATTTTGGCAGGATAGACATCTTGAATGCCACTATTCAGTCCGTCCAGGTCAGGTACAAAGGGCCCCAATGCTGGAGAATAAGTTTGCATTCATTCCATACTCTTATGTAATTCCCCATGTACAGTTCCGCTGCCTGCTTGGGGAACAGCAACCCTAGGTATTTAATGTTGTCTCTCCGCCAATCGAATGTGTAATTGGTGCAGAGGGCTTCCCTGACTAGCTTTGGTAACCTAATGGTTAAAGCTTGGGTCTTGGTTTTATTTAGGGAATGGTATGAGTGTAGGTCATATTCACGGATGAGGTCCATGAGCGGTGGTAGGGAGGTCATGGGTCAGGAGACGTAGAGAAGTATGTCATCTGCAAATGCACTTATTTTGGTTTCCTGTCCACAAACCTCTATACCGCAAATATCTGGGTGGTCCCTAACTGCGCATAGGAGGGGCTCCAAAGCTAGGACATATAACAATGAGGAAAGCGGGAAAATTCTTAATATGGAATGAATGAAAAATTTTTCCAAAAATAAAAACAAAAATCTTATACATATATTTTATAGAAAAAAAAGGGTGTTTTTCTACTTTATAAATCAAGGATCTCCCCCACCCAGACAGCCTATATGAAGTGACTGGCAGGAAAAGAGGAGTAGGAAACATCCACTCCTCTTCCTCCCTAAATTATTGTTAGATATATGTTTGTTGAGTTCTGTTATGTCATGTTTTTGATATGAATGTTGTCTGTATTTTTATATTATACAATATTATATGAACCATCATGAGTGACAACATATATGTATGTTAATCTGTATATTTGTAAGAGAAAGACTTTTTTTTCAAATAAAGAATAAGATAATAAAAAAAATATTTTTTTTTTGGTGGGAAGGAGGAACTAAACATCACCTATGTTTAGAAAAAAACTGACAACAATTATGTTCAATGTTAAAACCATGTTTAAACCACAATGGCTTATTTGTACATTTTTTGCTTTTTTTTTTTTAAACTAGGAATGGATGAGAACTGACCAGGTATTGTAAAATTTAGGAACCAGAGGTATTTTTTTCCTTGAAACTCTTTTAACCCCTTAAGGACACATGACATGTGTGACATGTCATGATTCCCTTTTATTCCAGAAGTTTGGTCCTTAAGGGGTCAAAGTAGAGAGCAGGGCAGTGGGAGAGACTTGCCCTCTGATATTTTACACACTGGAGTATTTTTGACAACCTGGGGATTGTGGAAAACTACCAACTAAATTATAATATTTAAGACCAAAACAGCCAAATTAGAAAAATACCAATTTTTTTGGCTGCTTTGATCTACATTTAAAATAAAAATGGTTGTTTATTGTAAAAAAACCCTTGTATTTCATATGATATGTTCATTTGCACTCTCCCGAAATGCTAGAGGCTTGAGTGATTATGAGAAAATCTAATAAAGTGTAAGCGCTAGGAAAATATTCTAGCTCTCAGTAGAGCTGCACTATTCCCCAGTGACACAAACAAGTATACACCAATATAGACAATGTTACCATAAAAGCGCGCTAAAACTGGTGATAACAAATCTGTAAAATAACAAAACATAATATAGTGCAGACTATCTAAATGATATATAAGTATAGGGAATGGGGGGAAAGAACTCACATGGTCCAGAACCCTATCATCCCTGGCTCTGGGTTTGCAAGGCTCCACGTGAGAGGGAAAATCCTACACTGCATGGATAAAAGCTGTATGATGTGCTCTTTGTAATCAAGCGATTCTGTATGATATAGGATAAAGAGGCAGAAACTCCTAATTGAATAGTATCTTCAATAGTTTATTGTAAAAAAGTGGTTATAGACTCTTACTTAGTAAGTGGTGGGTATGTAATTTATGTAATTTAGGCACTGTTCCAAAGATCATTGTGACAAATTTGTCAGTGTTTAGGATAAGTTTTTTGAGTTTTTTTTACGATCCACTTTTCTACCTCTGAGAACTGGTCTTGGAGCACAGCCTCAAGGTGTGGTAGATTTGGTTTGCTAGCATAGACTACTGTGTTGCCTGTGTGAATGTGTACAGTTGAGACTTTGCAGATGTTAGGCAGAATATTTATGCTACATCAAGGGCGTGCCACAGGGTTTGGTTTTCCACTTTGTTTTGTGACTGCATTTCACCATTGTCTATATGCACAGTAATCTTTCATGGAGCCAGTTTGCTTGAACTTTGACCACAATAAATCTCTAAACTGTTATATTTGAATGAGGTCAGCTGTAACCCTTGGCAGATTTGCCCCTTTTACTCTCACTTTATGCAGCGAGGGATGCAAATTCAAAACTTACAACAGTTCGGACTGAAATAATTCAATTGCACAGTCTAGATCTGGGATTAGATTTATTCTGTGACGTAAGAGGTTGCTGATGTAATTTAGAAAGGATTCAAGATTACATATCTTGAAGGACCTGTTAATTACAATGTTGGGAGAGGATTTCATGGCCTTTATTTTGCGCATGCAGTACACTAGGCATTGGTCACTGAAACAGCTAGGGAGAACACGCACCTCCTGGATTCTATCAGGACAATTGGAGAGAATTAAATTCAGCAAAGTATGGTTAGGGCTTTTCATATTAATGCAAGTTGGGAAGGAAATTAATTGCATTAGCTGCATTAGCTGCAGAGGCTTTACCTGTGCATGTTGTTAAATATTTTAGCATTCAACCATTCACTATTAAAATCTCCAAAAACCAACAGTTCACATTTTTTGCATTTGAGCTATGGTTTCAGTAAGGAGTTGTTTGGGTTATGTCAGAAAGGGAACGCACCGGAGAGCTAGGAGGGTGGTAGATTACAGCAACAATTATCAATTTACTAAATGGATCTCGATTGTACCGTAAAGGAAATCAAAGGATGTAAGAGAGATTTACTTTTGTAAAGGGGTGAACTTAAATAACAATGCCTCTACTTTTTGCTCTGTCGTTTCTAAAGCATGAATTGCAATGGCAGAGTCAGCTGTTAGCCAGGAGCAAAATGATTTGGGGTTTATAATGGGAACACCAACCTTGCAGTGCATCCAGTTTAGGTAGTAAGCTGCAGTTGTTACAGTGCAATTGAATAAGCCAGGGGACCAGGGTTAGACTCCACATCATTTGTAAGGGCAAGTCAAATGAGAATTATAACACTGCAATTCTGTTTATAGATTGCTTTACAAAAAACTTAAAAATTTATATTATGTAAATTTACACAATTTACATTTGTAACATATTTGTTCAGCCTTTATAAAAATATTTAGGGTATTAAAACCTTTATCATTTATCTTATTTTACACAGTATAAATGCAGAAAGGCACTTTTCTTCCACAAAGCAGATGTGATAAACAAAAATGATCAAATATCTTGCTTCTAGGTATTTTCAAGGACCTTGAAAGCAATACAATTATTGTCCCAAAATAGGGATACTTGGGAGGTATGGGTTAGTGTGGGAGGGGTGCAATGTCACAAGGGAAGCACAATAAAGAGTTAAAGGGACTCTCCAGTGCCAGGAAAACATTAGTTTTCCTGGCACTGCAGGACCCTTTAGTTCCCCTCTCCCTCCCACCCCTTCAGTGACTTACTGGAGTCCAGCACCGATGTCCCTCGGTGCTGGGTCAGGCTCTGCCTACTCTCCTCCCCGCCGACGTCAGCCAGCGGGGGAGACCTAATGTGCATGCCAAACTAATCTTATTGATTTTTTTGATTAGGTAACTAAAATTATAGATCAGGGTGGTGCAGTAGACATTGCTTACCTAGATTTCAGTAAGGCTTTTGACACTGTTGCACATAGAAGGCTCATCAATAAACTGCACTCTTTAAGTTTGGATTCCAATATTGTTGAATGGGTAAGGCAGTGGCTGAGTGACAGACAACAGAGGTTTGTAGTCAATGGAGTATATTTGAAGCTTGGGCTTGTCACCAGCGGGGTACCTCAGGGATCTGTACTTGGACCCATTCTCTTTAATATTTTTATTAGTGATATTGCAGAAGGTCTTGATGGTAAGGTATGTCTTTTTGCTGATGATACTAAGATATGTAACATGGGTTGATGTTCCAGGAGGGATATGCCAAATGGCAAATGATTTAGGTAAACTAAAAAAATGGTCAGAGTTGTGGCAACTGACATAATGCATCTTGGATGTAAAAACCCAAGGGCAGAGTACAGAATATTTGATAGAGTCCTAACCTCAACATCTGAGGAAAGGGATTTAGGGGTGATTATTTCTGATGACTTAAAGGTAGGCAGACAATGTAATAGAGCAGCAGGAAATGCTAGCAGAATGCTTGCTTGTATAGGGAGAGGTATTAGCAGTAGAAAAAGGGAAGTGCTCATTCCATTGTACAGAACACTGGTGAGACCTCACTTGGAGTATTGTACGCAGTACTGGAGACCGTATCTTCAGAAGGATATTGATACTTTAGAGAGAGTTCAGACAAGGGCTACTAAACTGGTTCATGGATTGCAGGATAAAACTTACCAAAAGGTTAAAGGATCTTACCATGTATAGCTTGGAGGAAAGACGAGACAGGGGGGATATGATAGAAACATTTAAATAGATAAAGGGAATCAACACAGTAAAGGAGGAGACTATATTTAAAAGAAGAAAAACTACCACAACAAGAGGACATAGTCTTAAATTAGAGGGACAAAGGTTTAAAAATAATATCAGGAAGTGTTACTTTACTGAGAGGGTAGTGGATGCATGGAATAGCCTTCCAGCTGAAGTGGTAGAGGTTAACACAGTACAGTAGTTTAAGCATGCGTGGGATAGGCATAAGGCTATCCTAACTATAAGATAAGGCCAGGGACTAATGAAAGTATTTAGAAAATTGGGCAGACTAGATGGGCCAAATGGTTCTTATCTGCCGTCACATTCTATGTTTCTATGTTTCATGCGCAGCAATGGCCGCGTACGCACATTAGACCTCCCCATAAAGGCATTATACATAGCGTGCGGATGTCCAGCATCGCTTAAAACACTTTTCGTGTTCTAAGAACACGGCAGTCCCTCTAGTGGCTGTCTGATA